AGGAAGATGAAGGGGGAAGAAGAGAAAAAGAGGAGAGAAGAAGAAGAAAGTAAGAAGAAAGAGGATGAAGTGAGAAAAAGGAAAGAGAGAGAACAAATGAAGAGGAAGGAGGAGGAAGAGAGAAAGAAGAAGGAGGAAGAAGAAAAGAGGAGGATAGAAAAGGAAGAGAGAAAGAAGAAGGAGGAAGAAGAAAAGAGGAGGATGGAAAAGGAAGAGAGGAAGAAGAAGGAGGAAGAAGAAAAGAAGAGGAAGGAAGAGGAAGAGAGGAAAAGGAAGGAAGAAGAAGAGAGAAACAGTGGACAAGGAACAGGTTAGAAAAAGTAAAGTCAAACTTGCAGATGGCCAGGTGACATTCGTTTTTCATTTAACAGGATACATTTCTTACAATGCATACACTCTCTTACAACACACTACTTACAGTACACCACCTGACGATACAACATTTGCAATGATCAGCTTACACTGAATTTGCTATGGTAACCTGGATCGAATACTACATGTTTGCATTTCTAACATCAGGTTGATTTTTGAAACTTTGTTTAAAAGAGCTACACACCATACTTTCAAAATGCAATCGAAAAGGTTATTGCTTAGCATACGCTACAAAATGTGAACAAATTTTTAATCGAATACTTATGTTATTCCCTTTTTCGTAGAAGATATTTAATTTACCCCTTTTATTGCCTATGTGAAATTCTAGGGATTCTAGGTGTTAGAGAAAACTACTGGTTCTTTCCCTAGACTCCTCATACTTTCATAGATCGGTGGTATCAATATCATGGTCATTAAAATTTCATATACACCCTTCGAAAGCCCGAAAGCTGAAATTCCAAACGAAATACTTTTATTGCTAAAACTGTCTGGTCAAGCACTCATGTATAGCTCCAATTTTGAATTTGACTCCAGAATTTGGATACGAAGAGGTAATGTACAACCAACTAGCTATTATTAAGCTACTATTAAGCTACTATTATTGATTGAACTGAAAAGTTGCCCCTATGAAATGCAACTTAATTGGTAAAAAACTCATACTCTTTCAACTAGGACAATCTTCCTGCCTTTTGGAACAATATGAGCCGATGGAGACTGACGTTGAAAGTAAAGCACCATCCTTTTAAGAGTTATAAGAGAACACTAAGCCACAAAACCTATCGTTACTGAACAGATGCAGTTGTGCCTCTTACGACCTATGCAACTTCGGCGTAACATGGTATATAGACTATATACCATGTGCTTTAGGTTGTAATAGGCGCTTCGTTTTTGTCACGTTTCTATTTAGTCTATAAATTTTTCAAACCAGATCATACGAATCAGATAATAAAGATTATACTCATTAAACAGAATATACAGATCTAGTCGAAAATTTAAAACTACAGTTTGATTCAAAACCTGTTT